CAGGGATGTGTTGTTGTTGTTGTTGTTGTTGTGTTGAAGCGCCTAGTGGCTCTGGCTCGGCGTTCCGCCCGGCATGGACTTAAGGTGGACATCTTAGATTAGGCGCTGCTAATACGTAGATAGTGATTGGACAATCATATGTAGTGCTCCCACGCACGGACCTCTTTATGGCAGGCTTCCCCATTCTAGCGGACTTTCAATTTTGCTTCCTTTTAGTATATAAGGACTCCTCTCGCATCCCCACTCTGCGTGCTCTTTCCCTTCGCACTCAGAGTAAGTCCCCTTCGTCGCCCTTGCGCATTATGTAGTATGCTCACCGGACCCCTGTCTAGCTAACACCGTGTGTATTAGGTACATAGCTATACAGCGTGCTCTTTCCCTTCGCACTCAGACTAACACCGTGTGTATTAGATCGTGCCCGCGTGCCACTCGCCAGTTCGCGCTCGCGCAGCCCAGTAGTCGTATCACGACAATAGGTTATGAGCTCCGGCTTGTAACTGGCCCCCATCTACCCTCCATCCCTCACGAGTCTTCACTCGGAGAGATCCGGCACCAGCCGCACACTAGCTCCATAACACCTCAGGGTCTTTACCCCAAGTGTTACTCCACATCGCAACACGGACACTAGAAATCCTCTAGTGCATGTCTAGTCCATCTGCATCACGCCCACCTTCACCAACTGCACCGACACCTGCACCTGCACCTGCACCCCGTCCTACACGTCGCACTCCCGCCGCTCCATCTACATCCTCTCAATCCGCGTCCACCGCACCTCGCCGCACGACAACCATGTCCTCCGCCTCCGCATTCGCATCAGCCACCGGTCCGCCGTCGATGAAGCTCGACGTGATCGGAAAGCTCAAAGGTTCCAGCGACTACCCACGCTGGTCCCTGATGATGCAGCAGTACTTTATTGCTGCACGCGCATGGAAGGTCGTCGACGGCACCGAGAGAGCCCCTGTCCCAAGCAGCTCCGTCTCCGCTGCGGACATCGAAGCATGGGAGACGACGAACGCATACGCGAGGTTCTACATCCTCAGCACGCTCGGCGACGAGCTCCTGCACCTCGCGAACCCAGTGGACATCACAGCCGCCGCGCTGTGGAAGAAGCTGAAGGACAACTACGCCGCCTCCACCACCATGTCGGCATTCGTCAAGTTCCGCGCGTACTTCTCGCACGCGATCACGGACAGCGATGACCTCGCTGCCCAACTCGACGAACGCGCCCGACTCTGGCAAGAGGTCAGCGCCTCCGGGATCCTCCAAACCCCGGAGCTCCTGCAGATATTCGGCCTGCTCACGGCCCTCTCCGACTCGTTCAACAACGTCGTGGAGCCCATCCTCGCAGTCACCAAGCCCGCCGACTTAAAGCTCGACGACATCCGCAACCGTCTCCTCGACGAAGCGAAACGTCGCAGCTCCTCCACCAACGTCGCCGCCTTCCATGCACCGAAGGCGTCTACCTCAGGCAAAGCCAAAGCTGGCAAACCTGACGGCAAGAAGGGCAAGTGCAACTTCTGCCACTACAAAGGCCACTACGAGCAGGATTGTAGAAAGAAAAAGGCCGCCGCCGAAGAGGCGCGGAAGGGCAGCAATGGCAAAGCCCAGGACGGTAAAAGTAATCCGTCCGGTAGTAGTACTGGTCACGCATCTGTACATGTAGTCACCGCCGAAGGAGCCGCTGCTCCTGAGGCCAAAATTCACTCCGCTTCCTGGTATCTCCACGGTGTGAAACGCTGGATGTTAGACTCCGGCTGTACACGACACATTACGAACGACCTGAACGACTTCGCTGAGTACACCACCTTCGCGTCGCCTACGTACGCAACATTAGCAGATAAAGTGAAAACGCAAGTCAGCACGCTCGGTTCAGGAGTTGTCGAGGGCACTACGCTCGTCGATAACAAACCAGTAAACATCAGGCTAGAGAACGTTCTCTACAGCCCTGCAATGTCCGGACGGCTAATATCCGTCTCATGCATCGAAGACAAAGGCTTCGATCTCGTCTTTGGGAAAGGACGAGCCCAAATCAAGCGTGGTAACACCACGTTTGGCATAGGCACTAAGTCCCGCGGTCAGTATTGGTTGGACCTTACTCCACCTCCACCATCTGTTGCGGTCTCCACGCACAACGCCACTTCGCTCAACGTTATCCATCACCGGTTTGGTCACCTGAACTGGGAGGCAGTATGCAAGCTCGCCGCTGCTGATTCCTCCCCAGTCAAAGGCCTCAACGCCACCGATATGGACAAACCTTTGCATCCCTGCGAAGGCTGCGTCTTGGGTAAAGCACACAGGCGTACATTCCCCACATCATCCACCTCACGCGCCAACAAACCCTTCGACCTCATTCACTCTGACCTCGACGGACCTATATCGGTGGTGTCCCTTACAGGCCACCGATACTTCACTACCTTCATCGACGACTGCTCCGACGTCACATGGGTCTACTATCTGCGAACAAAGGATGAGTTCCTCTCCGCGTTCAAAGACTTCGTAGCCCTCGTCGCGCGACAGTTCGACACGGTCATCAAGGTCTTTCGGTCAGATCGAGGGGGTGAATACCAGTCCAACGAGTTCATCAACTTGTTGAAGAAATCTGGGATCATCCACGAGCGCACGATACCCGGTACCCCACAGCAAAACGGCAAAGCTGAGCGCATGAACCGTACGCTCGTAGAAGCCGCTAAGTCAATGCTACAAACCGCCGGGTTATCACACGGATTCTGGGAAGAAGCTGTTCGCACAGCTGTGCACGTACGCAACAGAGGCCCTAAGAAAGCCATTGCATGGCGTACACCCCTGGAACGACTCACTGGCACCACACCGGACGTGTCCCACTTCCGAGTCTTCGGTTGCCAGGCCTATCGCCATATACCCGGGGATAAACGCAAGAAACTCGATGCTAACGCTGAGAGCCTAGTGTTTATCGGCTACGAGACGAATTCTAAAGGTTATCGTCTATGGAATAAACGTAGCAGAAAGATCACCACGAGTACTGATGTGATATTCGACGAGTCGATCTTCTCCAACAAACTCCTACCCTCACCGTCCTCGACACAACCGACCGGATCTACATCCACGCTGCCGTCATCTGTCGAACTCAAACTACCACCCCTTAACACGCCACCGGCTCCTACGCAGCCGCCACAGCCTGTATCACCTCCTACTCAACCCATCACACCAAAACCGCCTACAGCATCCCAAATACCACGCCTTACACCTCGAACAGAGTTGTATCCAGCTCCGCCAATCCCGCCAAGTGCACCGGTCAAGCCTGAATCCAAAGGCAAGGCCAAAGCCTCACCATCTCGCGTCGTCGCCCCTCCGCCACTCCAGCCAAATCCCAACACCACCTCGTGGGACTACAATCCCTTCACCAACCCTGAGCATGCCACGACGTCATCAGGCGTCTGCCACGGTACCCGCGAACGTAAAGCAACTCAGAAATGGACGAGTATTTGGCCCGGAGCGACCGAAGCAGACATCGAGGAAGCACTGAACACAGGCAAGGAACCGGGCGACATCGCTGCGATCGTAGGCGACTCCTCCATCGCTGGAGAGCCGCGGACCTACAAACAAGCAGCTGACGCCCCGGATTCAGCGGAGTGGATGACTGCCATGCAGGCCGAAGTCACTGGCCTCCTGGAACAAGGCACCTGGGAACTTGTCGACCTACCAAAGGGTCGCAAGGCGATCAAGTGCAAATGGGTATACGTTGTCAAGCGCAACGAGAACGGAGAAGTGGATCGCTACAAGGCAAGGCTCGTAGCCAAGGGGTTCACGCAAGTTCAAGGCATCGACTACAAAGACACCTTCGCTCCCGTTGCCTGTCTGGAATCCTGGCGATACCTCATCGCCCTAGCGACTATCCAAGACTGGGAAATCCATCAGATCGACTTTGATAGAGCATATCTAAATGGAGAACTCGACGAGGAGCTCTACATGGAGCAACCTGAAGGTTTCGTAACGGACACAGGCAAAGTATGCCGCCTGCGGAAAGCAATATACGGGTTAAAGCAAGCGGGACGAACATGGTTCCTCACGCTCAAAGCCTGTCTCGAGGACATTGGATTCGCATGCCACGACGCCGGCGACGTATCCATCTTCATTCGCCGTCAACGAGGGGGATCCACTCAAATTCTTGTGGTTTACGTTGACGACCTAACTATGATGGGAAACAGCCTCGATCTCATCCAACAAACGAAAGAGGCATTGAAGGAAAGGTTCCAACTCAAGGACCTTGGCGAACTCAAGTACTACCTCGGCATCCGTGTCACGAGGGATAGGGGGAGTCGAGCTACATACCTCGACCAGGAAACGTACATCGAGTCCGTTCTCAAACGATTCGGATACGAAGACTGCAACCCCGCACCCACACCACTCGGCACTGACATCGTACTCGAGAAGAACGAGGAAGACCCCGCGGACTGTCCACAAGACCGTATCAAACTATACCGCTCACTCCTCGGCTCACTCATGTACACCATGCTTGGGACTCGCCCCGACATCGGCTTCGCTGTCGCCCGACTTTGCCAATACCAGGCAAACCCTTCACCGAAACACGTAGCTGCCGCCTATCGTGTTCTCAAGTACCTCCGCGGCACCTCCAACTATCGACTCCGTCTAGGTCAGAACGATGAGACCGATAGCCGTTTGCTCGGTTACACCGACGCAGACTTCGCAAATGACAAGGACAACTCCGTCTCAACATCCGGCTGGGTTTACAAACTCGGTAGAGGCGCGACCAGTTGGTCTTCTCGCAAGCAACGCTCTGTGGCTCGAGATACCTTCGACGCAGAGTACTTCGCAGCCGACAAAGCAGTCCGACATTTACAGTGGCTCGAAATCTTCGCTGAGTATATCGAACACCCACTCACGAAGCCTGTCCCTCTCCACTGCGACAACAAATCTGTCGTTGATGCTGCCCAGTCACCCAACGTCAAGCATCGCACAAAACACACCCGCGTCAAAGCTCACGCTGTTCACGAGCAATTCGAAGCAGGTCTGATCGGACTCGTTAGGATTCCCGGTGTCGACAATCCGGCTGATATTCTCACAAAGCCTTTACCGGCTGAGGTACACAACCGTCACACCCAGTCTCTTGGCCTCGTTCCGTATCGCCTCACCAAGGGGGAGTGTTGAAGCGCCTAGTGGCTCTGGCCCGGCATTCCGCCCGGCATGGACTTAAGGTGGACATCTTAGATTAGGCGCTGCGAATACGTAGATAGTGATTGGACAATCATATGTAGTGCTCCCACGCACGGACCTCTTTATGGCAGGCTTCCCCATTCTAGCGGACTTTCAATTTTGCTTCCTTTTAGTATATAAGGACTCCTCTCGCATCCCCACTCTGCGTGCTCTTTCCCTTCGCACTCAGAGTAAGTCCCCTTCGTCGCCCTTGCGCATTGTGTAGTATGCTCACCGGACCCCTGTCTAGCTAACACCGTGTGTATTAGGTACATAGCTATACAGCGTGCTCTTTCCCTTCGCACTCAGACTAACACCGTGTGTATTAGATCGTGCCCGCGTGCCACTCGCCAGTTCGCGCTCGCGCAGCC